TGTTTGACTCCCAATCCCATGCTGCTTGCATTATGCAGCCTTTGCTTAACACTTTTGTCCCAAATGAAACATGAGACTTGGTGATAATAGTTTGTATTACCGATTACCATTATGTGATTTCACAGAGATCACTTGCATTCATCTCCAAACTCCCACAAAGGCTTAAGAGACTGTCCTGACTCTGCATGTAACACAAATAACTCAGAATTACTGCCAGCCACCCACTGGGAGAGACCACAATGGGAGAAAACATACAATAGTCAGAGAAACTTCTCTTGTCAACACTGGCTGTTGACTGTGGCAGGGACCTCTTGCCTAGAATGACTGGGAATCTGGCCATTTTCTCCTTTTATTCCTGTTAGTTTCTGATTCATATGTTTTTGAATCTGTTATTAGATAAATGCAAATTCAGAATTGTGATGTTTTACTGGTATATTTGCCTAACCCGTCTAAATAATTATGAAAAACCTCTGTTTAGCTCTACCAACACTCTTTGCCTTGCAATCTGCATTGTCTGATAATAGTAAAGGTACACTAGCATCTTATGATAAATATTTATATGGTACATCTTCCATACTTTAAGCTCCAAACTTTCTCAGTCCTTATATTTAAGATGCATCTTTTATAAACAGTCTTTAGTTGAACATACAGCTTGATATGCTTTGATATTTTATTAGAGTATTTATTCTGAATACATTTAATGTACTTATAGGTATAGTTTGGTTAAAATCTACTATATTCTTATTTTTTTCTCTTTGTCCTTTGTATTTTTTGTTCTTCTCCTTCTATTTATGGTATACTCTTTTATTATATCATTTCTCTCTTTATGAATGTGTTAAGCATGTATTATTTTTTTCTTATGATAATCTTACAGATCACAGTATGTATTCTCACTTATCAGAGTCTTCATAAATTAGTAGTTTTACCACTTAATAGGCAATTCAAGAACTTTAGAGCACTTTAACTAAATTCATCCCTATTCTACCTCTTCTTCTCCTATTGTTATGGTCTTTGAGTTTATATATATGTAAATGCAATAAGCAATTATTACTGTTTTATAAGCCCACTTTAATTTGCATTCACAACACACATTTTCTATTACTTTCTATTCCACTTTGAATTTCCATACTTCCATCTGGAATCATTTACTTTTTATCTAAAAAACTTACTTTCATATTTCCTTTTAATAGATCCAGTGGTAATAAATAATCTTTATTTGAAATGTCTTAATTTCCTCTTTATTTTAGAAATATATTTTCATTGTGATTATAATTCCACACTGGTGGTTATTTTCTCTTACTACTATAAAGATATCACCTCATTATCTTCTAGCTTCTACCAGTTAATCCTCACCAAATTGATCAGTATACTCAAAACAATTCTAATCAAAATTCCAGCAAACTTTTTTCTTTTGTAGAAATCAGTAAGTTTTTTCTAATATTTATATGAAAATATTTATAGGAAAAGCAAAGGATCTGGAATTGCCAAAACAATTTTGAAAACTGTCATGGACCCCAGCTTGTGGGGTCCATGGCATTGTAGCTGAGACAAAAGAAATTCACACAGACTATAATCCTGTGGAAGAAAAGGGATAGGCAGCTTCTCTCTCAAGAGGAGAAAAAGCCTCTGTCCTTGCCTTAATTGACTTTTATTGCTTTTCTGGACATTACTAAAAGGTCCTCATTTACTATGCACAGGTTTGCTTTATGTGGTTACCTGTTACAGAAAACAAAGGAGAGGATGCCACTAATCACATCACAGAAGAAGGATATTTGCAAATGAAAAGGGAAAAGTGGTTGAACAGGTACACTCATCTTTGGAAGGTTTAGCATAGATTTCAGGAAGTTACTTTCAAGATATGCAGTAAATATTTGCTGCCTCAATTCAGGGTGAGGGAGTTTTAGCAAAAGCAAGTCTCATAGTAGTCTAAGTACAGTGCAGGTCTGATTCCCCATGGGAGAAACTGTCCGTGGGCATGAGTCCTGTGCATCTCTGAGTGAAAGCTGGGCCTATGCCATGCAGAATGGTCTCCTATAGAAAACAAACAAAATTGGGGGACTTAACCAGATTTCAAGCCTTACTGAAATTTTCCATTTTTAAAGCAGTTTGATTTTGGCTAAAAGATTGACATGGATTAAGAAAATAGAATTGTGAGTACAGATGTGGTTCTACACAGATGTGGTTGATGGCTTTCTAACAAAGCTGTCAAGGCAATTCAATGATAAAAGGAAAGTCATTTCAGCAAATGGTACTGGATCAACCAGACACCCATAGAGAAGCAAACCTGAACTCTTACTCACTCCGTACACAGATTATATTCAAAACAAATCATAGAAACAAGTATAAAATTTAAAGCTATAGTGCTTACATAATAAAGTATAGGAAATTAATCTTTGTAAACTTGGAAAAGGTAAAGTTTTCTTAGAACATAAACAGCATGAGTCATTTAAAAAAGACAAAAGAAATTAGGCTGTATCAAAATTTTAAAGTTTTGCTTTTCAAAATATCTCATTAAGAAAACAAAAAGGCAAATCACAAAATGTGATATAGTATTTGCAACACATCTATCAAAAGACTCCTAGCAATAATATTTAACAAATGATTACAAATTAATAATAAGACAACACAGTAAGGAAATGCACAGAGATTTAGAGAACACTTTATGGATGAACATATATTAATTGTCAATAGTCATTTAAATAATGTAACAATTGTCAATAGGCTCAAAATAATTTAAGATATTCTAATTAAAACCATATACTGCACTACCAACCCATTCAGAAGACTAAAATTTAAAAAAACTAACCTTATCAAGTGCTCGTGATAATGTTGAGTAGTTAGGACTCTCTTTCACTGCTGCTGGGCATAGAGAATGGTACAACCACTTTAGAGAACAGCTTTACAATTTATTACCAGTGTGTGTATATGAGGATCAAGGAATCTAACCATTCTACTGCTAAGCATTTACTGAAGAGATTCAAAAGCATATGCCTGTGCGAAGACTTTTACACAAATGTTCATAGTGACTTTATTGTAATGGGCAAAAGCTGAAACTAGCCCCAGTGCAGCACAGGTAAATTGATAAACACACTGTGGCATAATCATGCAATAAACCATTAGTCAGCAATAAAAAGAATAAATCTCAACCCCAAGTAAAAAAACCCAGGCAAAAAGAAGTTCCTGGTCTATTGTGCCATCCATTTAAAAATTATAGACCATCAAAACCGATTTATAGTGACAGAAAGCCGGCAGGTTGTTCCCTGGGGATGTGGTACAGAGAGGACTGGATTACTAAGGGGCACGGGAAATTTTGGGAGTGACAGAGATATTTTGAAACCTAATTGTGGTTATAATTTCACTGGTATATATGACCTATGTCAAAAATGATTTAATTGTACACTTTAAATATATACAATGTAGTGCACTTTAATTATATCTCAATAAATGTGTTTAAAATCAGCCACCAGTCTTATTGTTCCTTTGAAGGTAATAATGTATTTCTTTTCATCTGACTGCTGTCAAGATTTTCTCTTTGTCTTTGGATTATTAGCATTTTGCTATGAAGTATGCATGAAATGTTTACTGAAATTCTTTGTATTTGTACTCCTTAAGCTACATAAATTTCTTTGATTTCTGTGGCTTGGTGTTTATCAGGTGTAAACCAACACTTCTTTAACTCTATCTTCTTTTCCTCTTGGATTAGGTCTGTAATTACACATATGTGAGACCTTTTCTCCATGTTCCATATTATCTTATGCTCTTGTCTATATCCCTCACATTTTTTCTATGTTTTTTTATTGTTTCTACTAACTTTTCTTTGAATCATTTACACTCTCTCCTCCTGTGTCCAATCTGCTATTAAATCTATTAAATTTTTAATTTTAATAGTTACATTTTGTACTGTAGACTTGCTATTTAATTACTTTTATAGACTTGATTCTCTGATTAAGTTTTTAATCCTGGAAACATAGAGGGATTTTTTATCCCAAGATTCCTGTCTTAAATATAGATCAAGATGAGACTGCTATAAAAAATACAATAAACCATGTGATTTAAATAAAAATTTATTTCTTACAGTTCTGGGAGCTGGGAAGTTCAAAAGCAAGGTTATAACGTTCAGTTCTTAGTAAAGGCTTTATTCCTGTCTTGAAGATAACCATCTTCTCCCTTTATCCTCAGCTGGTAGTAAAAGGAAGCTCTGGTGTCTCTTCCTCTTCTTGTAAGGGCACTCATCCCACCATGAAGATGGAAAGACCTTATCTAAACCTAATTACTTCCCAAGCAAGGGCTCCAACTCCTAGCACCATCACAATGGGTGAACTTCAACATATGAATGTTCGGGGGATGAAAACATTCAATCAAATGCCCTTTGCATATAATTTCACTATAGTCAGTAGTCATAGGGGTTTGTTGTTGTTGTTTGTTGTTGCTATGAATTTAATTCATTCCAAAAGAAATGCATACCTAAGCTTGCTTCTGAGTGCTGATTCTATAATGTGGTTCTTTGAAAATGTTGTTACAGATTTTTTCTTTGAACAAGAATGACAAATGGTTTTGCATATGAAAATGATCACTATTTTACATGCCCTTAAAACTTTTGGGTCACCTTTATTTTACTACATTTAAGCAGATCCATGGCAGTTTTTAATCCAGGCTGTTGGTAAAGTATAGTTTGGGGAAAAAATGTAGTTTAAGAATCACATGTATATTCTTAGTCTTGATTCTGCTATTTACTAGCTTTGTGGCTCTAAGCAAGTCAAATAAACTCTATGAGCCTCTGTGTTCATGTCTCTCAAATGGACACAATAGCATTTCTTAAGTTTTACCTTCCTGCCTTACAAGAATATTTTAGGATACATGAAACAAAGGATGTAAAAGTGCTTTGTAAAATCTAAAGTATATGAAATAACTATTCAGTAAATATTTTGAATAAACACTAAGTAACATATTTGGCTATAACAAGTTATGTGACCTTAGGAAAAAATAGGGAATGAAGATACCTGCCTTCAAAGCCAGTGATCTCAGTCATTACATCATACTTCTCACTGAGGCAACTCCATGAGACAGGATGTGATACTTTTCCAGATGGACACTACAAAGAATATGCAACAACTGAATATATAATAAATTGAAAATAAAATATAAAATATTATGTTTAATATTATATTTAATATATTATATATAAAATATATAATAAATTGAAAATAACTTAAACAAACAGCTAAAATACATTCATTTATTAAGTTTATTTTATTCAATAATACCCAGCTCTTTTCCTCCACCTTTATTGTTACTGACCTTTCCTCTTTCTCTCTTATATATCCTAGTCTTGCCCATCCAATCTGAAAATACGAACTTGGTAGTCTCTTGCTTCCAACTCAGATTCCCTTTCTTGAGTACAATTCATATTGCTGTGAACAGAATCAGATTTTTTCCCTGAAAACAGAAATTTTATGAGAGAACAGGAAAATAAGAAGAAGGAAAAGAGGTAGAAAATCAATCTGGCAGAACTTCACTCTACTATTGGCAAATTTTCTCAAGAGTGAATGCAGGCCAAACACCCCAGTGCCAATCCAGCCATTCCATTTGTAGATCAGGCTGGAGGAAGGAGGTGAGGGTGGACAGCAGAGAGGGTGTTTGCAGATATAAGAGAAAAAGATTTGCCCAGAAGTGACTGGTCACAGAAATTAAATACCAGGTATGCAATGATATACCTATTTCTGTGATTCAAAAATATATCTACAACTGGTGATTTAAAATTTATGGATTGATATTAGAGGAAAATTGTGCTCATTCCTGCTTCTCACAGCTGCCAACAGAACAGACTGACTTTTATCCTGTGTTCACTCATTTACCTTGATCCCTGAGGCATGAGAGATTGTGATGTGTATATACTTAAGTGAAATCTGTACACATTACTTATTTTTTTGAAGTTACCACTTTTGCACTTTGAATAGGATCATATTTTGTGGCCTGGCCCTGTTCTGTATAATTTACAGACATTTAAAATAAATAACTAACTATAGATACCTCACTTGTTTAAATGATCTAAGTTGAACATTGAAGTCAATGATCATAATTTAGGTATTGACTTTTGAGAACTGATATAAAAAGCTCTTCAAAAGCTTGACTGGGCCCTCTGGACTTTCCTGTAGTCCAGCTGGTCATCAGTCTGTTCCACAGCTTTACTAGTGTATATGTTGTGTTTAGCACCCTGCTATGAAATGATGGGTATATTTTACACTACATAGGACATATAGCTTTTATTTGTTCTAAATAAGTATCTGATTGTGTCTAGCCCAGTGGATTTTTCAGACAAAATGCCTCAAGGCATGAAGTCCCTTCCTTAAAAAGACTCAAAATATATACACATTTATATTATAAAGTTTACATGATCTAACATCTTATACATGAATAGGAAATCTCTTTGCAATGACTGAGTGCTCAGATTTCCCAAGATAGGTAAACAGGTATCTGTTGTGATGAGAGACTCATGTTCTGAGGAAGCTCTGGTCAGGTTAACAGCTTGCCTTACTGAAAGCACCTGTCTCTGCTATTGTAAAACAGAAGGGAAATGACCTATGCATTATTATGGAGTCAGAAGCAGAGATGGAAGGTTCCAGGGCTTTGTAGGATTCTTAGATGATCTTACATTCTTCTGGATATAATATGCTTGGGGGTGTAAGGGAAGGACACATTGGAGGTGGCATTTAGGAAAACCCATTTTGCCAAACACATATGTGTACATTCTAAAGGAAATGGAAGCCATATGTTTCCGATTCATGTACATGTAATTCATCAAAATATGATTTAGTAAAAGATATTTAATGTCCAAGAAACATGCCAACCTTTCTTATAAATACTTTTTTTCCAAAGGACCAGCTGCATTGAGGCATCTGTATAAGAAGTTATCCTTTTAAAATGGAACTGGTTTCAACATCTCAAGCACATTTTAAACTTCCCAAGGACAGCCTGGAATGATAGAAATAGCACAGACTTTGGAGTTGAAGAGACTTGAATTTAAAATCAGGTTGACTTTTTGTTAACCTTCAAATAATATATTTCTATGCATTTTTTTGTTTAGAGTCTCATTTGTGCTGGGCAGGAGATGCAGTATTAACATAAGGACACAACACTTGACAAGTGGAATAAATAATATCCCTCCCATCATTATGTAGTTACTTAACTTATCTGAACCTATATATTTTATTTTGAGAAATGGAGATAATAATGTTCGTCCTAAATGGTCTTCAGGAAAATCATTCAGAACAGACTCATAGATAGAGAAAACAGAACAATAATTGACAGTTGGGAGGGAGTTAGAAGAAGGTGAAAGGATTGAGTAGTACACAATGACAGTTACAGAATAGTTTCAGGGATGCAGAGTACAGCATAGGGAATACAGTCAATAATATTGTAATAACTGTGCATGGTGCCAGGTGGGTACTTGAAATATCAGGGAGAACACTTCGTAAAGTATGCCATTGTCTAACCACTATGCTGTACACCTGAAACTAATACAAAATAATATTGAATATAAAATGTAACTGAAAATAGATTTTAAAAAGTGAAAAAAAGAAAGAAAATCATTCAGCATGAAACATAATATCTGATGTGCTAAACATACTCAGCAAGTTTTCTTCCATTTCAGTCTTTTCCTTTTGAAGCCACTTTCCCCCTTGAATCTGTCTGCACACACATCCCCACACAAGGTTCCTGCCTTCAAATACCCATGAAGACTAAAAGCATCAGAATGCTTCCCATATATTTGGCTCATTATCTACTAGGTAGAAGTGGCTCCTTTCTCAGCAATGCAAAGCAGTATGCTTTAAATTGGGACTAAATGACAATTTATGCTGAGGATAGTGGGGGGGGGGGCAGAAACTTTGGAGTCAGGGCAAATCAAACTTGAATTTGGATTTGCCATTCTCAACTTTTTTTTCCATCATAGACAAGTGTCTGAGCTTCAGTTTCTACATCTGTAAATAGGATTAAAATGACCTAATGAGCTGTATTGTTGTGACAAATTAAATGGAATAATATATGGAAGGTACCTAGGTCAATAATGGCAGATCTTACTACTGACATAATAAGTAAATCAAAATGCTTCATTTCAAGGGTTTAATGTTCAAAACCACAATATTGTAATTTTCTTGATAGATCATAGCCTGTTAAACACTTGGACAGTAAGCAACCCAATAAATGCATCAACTCCACCCAGGAAATATATATACATATACCCATAGAGACTTTTGAAGACACTCAAGCTTAAATCTCTATAACAAGAATGCAAATACATGGTGACTTGCTATTCACCCCTTAATATTTCCATTGCAGTCATGAATAATTAATCACAGAAAATTTTTTCACTAAGCATATGCTGCCTAAAAATCTTTCCCTCAGCATTTCATGCAGCCACTGCAAATCATGTGGAGCAGACAAGTATGGTACCCCATCTACATCCCTGATGTAATTCATCAAACAGTTAACATGATCCACTCTTCTGAAACCTCAAGTGTATTCAACAAGCATTTATTTAGCACTTACTGGGTATCTGGCAATTGAGTCAAAAGTAAGCAATGACCCAGTCCATCAGGAGTACTACAAGGAAGAATAAATAATTGCTAGAGATATGAATTACTATAGAAAAGAGGAGCATTGAGTAATTAAAGAAAAGGTGGATTTATTTTTTTATGTGTTCACTCTATCCAGAGTGCCTAGAACAGAACAAGCAAATTGTAAAGATCAAAAACTTTCTTTTAGGCAAATGGATGAGATGAATTTGCTAAGCACCCATTGTCTTGATTTAAAATTTGTTCATTTAGAGAACAATGTACACTAAATATGAAAGTTGGGGAGATCAAAAGGAGAGCAGCAATTCAGATGGATTTTGAAAGCTAAGTCCCTCACTGCCAGAGAGAAGGAAGACATTGAAAGCAGAAGAGATGATCTGAACAAATACATACAAGTATGAACGCTCAAGGCCTAAATATGCTTTATATTTTTACAGATTTGGAATAGACACCTAGCTCAGTCCACCTCCCATGCTTGGACAGACAGAAAAATAACGATGCTGGTGGCCAAGTGGAATACAGAGCTAGGTCAAAGGAAGGTGGCAAGGGATGCCAAAGGGAGAAGCTGCTGCTCTTGGTGATGCTGCTGCACTTTACTAATGCTGTTTTTCCCAGCAGTCACTGCTGCCTGTTTGATCATTAGCACTGGAATGTCTTGTTTGTTTCCACCAGACGGAAGTAATATACAATTATGCAAATTACCTTAACTCCAAGTATGGAATCACAGGCCAGTCAATAATGTTGATGCATTATGAAAGGGCAGCTCCTCCTGGAAGAAATAACACGAGGAGCCGATCATAAGCAAACATTTTGAAGCCTGCAGAGGACTGGTCCCTGCAGCGCAATCTATTATCATATTTCCACATAATTAGTTTGTTTTCCACTTGAAATCAGAAAATGATTCGACATTGCCTTCCCTGCCTCAGGATGGAAGAGCATCCAGTGGAATTCTCCTGCGAAGGTTCATATGGTGAATAATTAGTGAGAATCAATCTGTGGAAATTAAAGTTTGGAATATTGTAGAACTCATGAATAGTACATGGGACAACTGGGTGGAGGAAGAGGAGAGGGCACTTCCGTGGTAGGCAAGCATACATGACTGCTGGCAATCTGTTTTTTAATCAGTGTTGCACAAGCCAGAGGGTTGACCATGACTATAGGCTGTGCAGAAATACTGTCCAATTTTACAGGATAAAGAAATATTTTTAAAGACACCTATATCTATGTTCATTTTCAGTCATTTTTATTTGGGTGGAATGCCCTGGGATCAGAGGGTTTTTCTTCGGTTGATGCTGGCGGCACTAACTACCTCAATCCTTGCAACTGCCCTGTATCTTCAAATTTTCTTATTCCCATTTTACTGACAGGGAAACTGGGACTTATAAGGCACAGGGGTTGGCTACAGTCACCAGCTGCTAAGTGGAGGCACTGAGATCAAAAGGTGTGCCTTTCTCTACCAAAATCCAATAGCTTAAGGGTAAACAGTGAGTGGGCTGAAATCAAACTGAGGTAGATTCAACTTTTTAGTCAAGCTAAGTATCAGTTTCCTCAAATCAGGGGTATATAATGAATGTATATAATTTATTAAACTGTCTGCAGGTTACATCAATAGTACACGTAATTCCTTCATACAGTATCTGGCACATAAAAGACACAGTGAATTATACTCATACAAAAATAGTAAAATAATTTCTCAAAGATTACTTTGATACTGGAAAATATAGGCATCTCATCACACCTTGGAAAAAATCCCCTCAAATGGATTCAAGGTCAAGTTATAATTCCCTGCCTCCTATAGCACTGTGAAGGCAGGCTTTACAAGTTTCTACTAACCTGAAAATAAATTTCAATGGAAAATTTGCAAGTGATCAGGGTTAATGTCTCCAATTTATTAAGTGACAAAAAATGGGACAGCAGGAGCACACAGCAGGGGAGCATTTTTTAAGAAGTGGAAAGCAAAGATTTTTTTTTGTAGATTATAGAGTGGTTTTATTTTCCATGGCTATAGCACACTATTTAGCAAAAGTATTTAGCAATAGTTGCTTATGATTACCCAAACAATATGGTCACCAGAGTTGAATCTACAGTAAAAGTAAAAGAAATGGAACATTTTTTCAAAGGAAAAAATTAGTACAGTATATTTTCTTTTTTCTCCAATTATAAATTTAAAGCTAATTATAGAAAAAAACTGCACAAAAGTAGAAAGAAAAAGCTCACTGTAAACTTAAAGATCTTCCTTGTTAACATATTTGACATTTTGGTTGTTTTCTTCCAATATTTTTTCTGGGCACACTTTTTCATAATTGTTGTCACAGTCTACCTGCAATTTAAATTTTTATTTTTTCTTAAAATGGTAAAATAACTGTTTTTACAAAGGTTCTAAAAGCCTGAGAATTTTTTAAGACATAACCAATATACAGACTATTAATTGCTTTCCAAACAAGGAACTGTTTTTGAATTCAAAGATCACCTTTTGTTGCTTTATCCAAGAGAGTGGTTTCCAATCCAAGTGCACATTTGCCTCTCAGTCATCTGTTGGATTTGGAAGAGGTTTCCAGATTGAGTTGAGAAATGGTCATTACAGTTAAGCTGCAGCCTCAATCTTAAAAATGAATGAATGGATCCAGTCCAGTCCTTTGGCTGGGACCCAGTCTTTAAAATCCAGCAGAACAATAAGTATGTGTCTTCGCAGCCAGCTGGTATCAGACTTGGGCAGGAAGAGTGTCAAAATATTAGTGACTTTTTTTACATTTGTCAAAGCTGAGGCCAATACAAGAAATGCAGACAGCTTGCAAACGTGGGTTGGGTTGTACACCAAAGGGATTTTGTGTGTGTGTTTTTTTTCAATCTTGCCCACCGGATGTCAACATTTCCTTGCTTTCTGACTACATCTCCAGTAAAGACAGAGTGAAATATCTTTTACTTTGAATATGAAAACCACCATAGATTTATCATCAATGCATCAGCCACTAATTTATTATTCCAGGGCACTGTACTCAGCTGGAATAAAAGGACCATCAGCATTTCCATGGCAATGCTTCCCTTTCTTTCCTTGGTTTTTAACTCATCTGCTTACTCAGTTGTTCCTGAACCTGGCAGGCAAGGTCTCGGTGGGAGAATAAATATATTTATACAAAATGTTTAAGAAAGGCTGCCCACATTGAGTTAGAAAAATAAGCATATGCTAGTACTGTCTGGCACTCTTTTTGCAATTCCTGTATCTCTCCAAAAGAAAAAAAAAATCTACAACCGAACATTTTTATTTTATTTTTAAAAGAAACATTGCTGGCAGCCAACGTGCAATATGGGCTTGATGGATTTTTTTATTTCTCTTTCTTTCTCCATCTTTTTCTTTAAAACACATACATGCACACATACAACTATATAAGAGACTAAGCTCATTGCTTTCCGAATGAAGTAAAATCAATTATTCACATGCATATGTAGCTGAGGTTTCTCTTTCTCCATCTCCCTTCTTTATTCCTGAGATAAAAGTAGGCTGTTTTGCTCATATGACCAGCTCATGTTTCGTGCAGCTAGTGAGAAACAGAGTGAGTTAGACACATCAAGATCTGTATCATGGCCTTCTATCACATGTGAACTGTGTGAACTTAGGCACATAAACCTCACCAAGACTCAGTTTCCCCATTTATAATGTGGAGACACTAAATATATATTTAGGGATTTTGCTGCTTCAGATAAGACTGATCTTTCTTTAAATGAAGGATGAGGAGGAGAAGGAGCAGGAGGGGAGTAACAAGAGGAAAATGAAGAAGGGGAAGAAGATGATGACAGTGGTAGCAGAGCCCCTGGAGCCACTAATGATGATAATGCAAAATTAAATAAATAACATTTGTACAATATTTACAGCTGTGAGGCACTTGTATTTTCTCTAGGTCATTTAAGCTTTACCACATTCTAGTGAACTAGTTGTTATTATTATAATTATTCCCATTTCACTAATGTGAAAACTGAAGGTCTGAAAGGTTAAGCATCTTGCCCCAAGATACAGTATTTTAAATGACCAGACAGAAGGAAAATAATAATGGTGATGTTTGACAACATTGAACTTTATACCTAAATCTTGAGCTCCTGGAAAATATAATTGGTTGAGAAGTCCTTTTATGTTTCTAAAAAGGGCTTACTGCAAAGAACCACCCTTCCCTGTTTGACTTACCATGACTCATGGATGACCACCTTACTGATTTATGAGAAGACCAGATGTAAACCTTCCAAATTCCCATTTTTTATCTCATACAGAATTAGCCTATTTCTTTCTACTGACCAATCTGGACAAAATGCCCATAACTTGCCTTGACCAAACTTTGCTCATGGATCTCTATACTTTGGCCCACAAATGAGCATGGAACTGGGAACAATCTCTCATTAGTGGCCCCTCCTCAGAATCTGCTGACTTTGGTGGTTCTTACTCCTCCCTGTAAACAAAAATTTCTTTTCTGACTGAAGTGCTTGCAGATCTATTGTCAAAGGTTTCTCTATATTGCTATAGTCTCACTTTTATTGTTACAATATTCTTTTCAAATAAAGCCTCTTTTTGGGTTGGCCAAAAAGTCTGGTTAGTATTTTTCCATAAAATAAATTGCACAATTTTCATTTCCACTAACAACTTTATTGATTTGGATATTTTTAGTATGTCAGCTATCTTTGGTGTGGTATAACATGGATTGTTCTCAATTAATGTCTCAATTTGTCACTATCAGCTTCAACTGGCCTACCCAACTGGGGAGCAACGTTCAGCAAAAAATCTCCAATGCGAAACTTCACAAACCACTTTGGACACATTTGATGAATCACACCACCTTCTCCACACACTGCATAAATCTTTTTTGTGTGTGTTTCAATGTTTCTTTAAATAATAGAGCACAATATACTGAAAGTGTTGTTATTTTCTTCCATCTTCAATATTATATAAAATGGCTATACAAAAATTCACCAATTTTGAAAAGTTGTTAAAAAATGCAGGCTAATATGATAGTTGTCACAATACAATGTGCAGTGTTACTGGAGCCATTTTATGGGGGAAAAACAAACAAGCTTTTTGGCCAACCCAATATTACATAAGTCCAGATTTTTTATTTGACATGTTAGTAATAACATTAACAATTGTTAACATATGTGTAGTACTTAGAACTGATCATTTTTACAAGAATCATAACTTATATTTATTTGGAGCTATGTTTTTTAATTCTTCCCCATAATTACTGCTTCAAAATGACTCTTCATCATTAATAGAACAATTATTTCCCCATTTGAATACTAAAACCCATCAGGATGAAAACTTCACAGAACCTAGGAAGTAGAAGTAAAGTGGGTAATTCTGGATGAGAACATAAGCCTTCTGTTACCTGGTTCACTCTTCTTTCATTTTCTGCTTGAAAACAAGCCAGGCTTGGCTTATACCAATTTGAAAAAGGCCAGTCCTTTGTGGGCTGATGATAAAGGTAATGAAGCTTAAGCTGTAGGGCTCTTAATTTACACAAATCACCTCCAAAACCTAATTTCGATTCATAATTGTTTTTTTTTCTCTTTTTTTAGAAAGCACCCACCAACTGTATAATCTTTAAGCACCATAAAGCCCCTGAGAATAATATGTTATATCTTGATAAGCATATTCACATACCTCTACTCTCACAAAATCACCCTTCCCAGCAGTACAATGTCAGAATTTCCACAAAGACAGTTTTTTATTAAGGCCCTGGGTTTCCCAAAGTGTGTTCTGCATATAATGCTGATTTTATGAGGTATTAA